TATGTGGTTATTTATATAAACAATTGGGAAAATAAAATAGTAGTGGTAATGTATTAAAACTGAAAAGAAAACGCAAGATTTTCCCTTTTCTGTGTGAATAATCGTTAAATTTTGATGTTTCTTCTCACAAAAAAACTTTCACAGCGGCATAATTTGACATCGTGACAGCCCTAGTCTCTACCAATAACCAAGCGGAGGAAATGTGATGTTGAAATCTAATACCAGCTTTGCCACATCACTGCTATAGCCTCTAATGGAAAAGCATTAGAAGAGAGCACGCAAATGGAATTACAATGACTCACAGTTCATCTCGTAATAGTCGGTCTTCAGTATTTTGTCCCTCTGCTGTTACGTCCATCTGACTTTCAACTCCATGCTCAACAAACTATAATGTATTTTCTTCTTCTTCTTCACCATCAATGTTCACCTACTTGGAAAATAACTTATAATGAGGGAATAACTTTTATATAACATGGTAGAAAGCTCCAATTAATATGTGTGAATGAATGAAGTTTTGCTATTATTATAAACGAGCTACTGCAACAAAAGGATTATCTGGAAATGATTAATAGAGCATATCTGATCTAATTTGTCAAACATACACAAATTCTTGCCTGTTTCTCAGATCTGAGCCGGGATCTTGGAAGGTGTACATAGCTGAAGCATTGGTCAACTTTGCATGTTTTTTTTTTTTTTTTTATGATAGGGAAACGTGCCAAAAATCACTTGCAAAACCAAAATATTGCAAGCAGCTTTGACAATAACTTAATGGTGCAATATGTCATAAATCCGTGTATCATTCGTTCATTCGTTTTTCAATATAAAACCAAAAATAAGATTTTCTTCGTTATGTCTCCATGAGATAACGATTCGTTTTTCAGTTTTCACAGAAGAATGGAAAAAACGGATAACTTTTTACGTGACACTGCGATACTTTTGCACTGGTACGGACTGAACCAGGACTGTCCAGGTCCGAGACCAGACCGAGACCAGAGCGGGACTCAGACCGGGACCAGACCGGGACCAGAGCGGACTAGTTATCTTTTTCCATTCTTCATTTAAACACAAAATCGTGAAAAAACGAATCGTTATCCGTTTTTTCATTTTGGTTTTGGAGACAAATAACGAAGAAAACTGTTGTTTTTTCGTTTTCTTATTTTTGGTTTTATATTGAAAAACGAATGAACGAATGATACACGGATTGTCATAGACCTTTTTCACAACAGTAGGGTAAACGTCACTTACATCAACGTGTTTCTAAGGCAAAATATCTGTGGAAATGTCTCATGTATTTTCCACCAGCTTCATAAATCTGCCCCATGGCCAAATCTTCATTCAACAAGATCGACAAAGGATAAACATTCTGTCCATGAAGAGTTTTTCCACAACTATCAAGGTAAGAAAGACAAAAACGTAAAGGCGAACAACGGTGACGCATTAGTGAACTACCGTATTTTCCGTCTTAAGCCTCCAAAAACGACTGCGCGCCTTATAATCCGGAGCGTCTTTTATATGGATTTATGCGAGTGTTCCAGTACAACTTCAGTAAACGACAAAGCCGCACCACTTGCTACCGTAGTCAGGAGCATCGCGGAGTAATACGTTCTGTGATTCCTCATTTTTCCTGTGGACGAGGAAAAGATGAGCGAGAAGTTTACCTTATGAGACCGGATGGTTTTTTCCACACATCTCCGTCCCTATTGATCTGCGACTCCAGCGCAGTAACAGAGTTGTTGTCCAGACGCAGCCGCGATTCATTTTCGAATTATTTTACCAACAATGGCCAATACAGAGAATGTAACACACGAAGATCAGAGCAAGTATCAGTGTGCGAACGTGTGGCTCCAGAGTGAGTCAAAATTGGGGGTGTGTACGTCTGTTCAGGACCTGCACAGAGACGACCCGGTGTTCCCCGTGATCATGTACCAACTAGCATTTGTTATTTTAGGCTTTAATTAACCAAATAATTTTATGGCAATAGCCTATTCAATTGATACAACTTCAAAAAGTCCCTGCTTTTAGCCAAGTGTGAGAAATACACTCGGACTAGATCCAAACCAGAGTCCTGAACCAGCGGGGGCAGCTCCGGTTCAGGCCGGGCTCAGAGGAGCTGGAGCGGGGAGCCTCGACCTGAGGAAGCGCTTTCCCCGGGAAGAACCAAATGCGCGGAGGACGGACGCTCAGAACAACATATAACAAACCAAACTGGACTCACGCTTCTGTCCGGATGCTGCACCACCTCGGAACCAGCCGCGGTTCTTGAGCGCGGAGGACAGGAGCAGCGCCCGGACCTGTAGTCCACAGCGCATTCTTGCTTTTCCCGCACAGAAGCAGCGCGCAGACGACGGAACGTACCCGCTCGGACTCAGTCCATCAAGCACTGGTCTTGATCGCCACCGTTTGGAACCAGCACATGGAGGATGGAGCCTCTGGACCATCTGACCAACGAGCTTGTAACAGACCAAGGACCAGACCCCAGCCCCGTCCTGAGGAGCTGTTGGCTGCTGCTGTTACCCGAACTCTGGGCTGATGCGGTGAGTTTGTACAAAGTTCTACATGTTGCTGTTTTATGAGTTCATGGTGATAATTTGAGATGAGGACGGCCCGTGGTTTTAACAGGAACATCGGTGTTGATAACTGGAGTATCACTGTTCTACCGGGAAACAGAGACACGTCAATCAAACCAGTTTTGGTTCGTTTGCCGGTGTGAACGCGGACACACTGGAGTGTATTTGCTACATAATAACAATTTTATTGCCTGGTGTGGACCAAATAATCGAAACTAGCGGTGTGAAAACGACCTAATGTGTTATTTTTAGTTATAACCGAACAATTATGAGTTATTGTGAATACGTTGACAATTTATCGGTCTCAGACAGTTTTTTTGTTTTTTACGTGTTACAAATGAACAAAGCTGAGAGTTAACGTAACGAGTCAACGCGTTAAATAAAGTTTGACTGATTTACCTAACTGTTGTGTTTCGTTTAACGCGCCTTATAGTCCGGTGCGGTTTATATGTGAAAAAAGTTCGGGAAAACGACAGTGCGTCTTATAATCCCGGAAAATACGGTACTCCTGAGCAAAACTAATGTTATGGTCATGAATAAAACATAAGTAACTTGTTAACTCAGACTGATTCTACAATTAAAATTAAAAATCGATTTCACGATGTAAGATATTTGAGAGATTTGTGCAGTTTAAATGCGAGACATAATCTGTGAACATCTGTAGTATTGGAACTGCACAAATTTATCTATGCTAATATCTACATCATGAAATCAATTTTTTTATTTTAATTGCAGAATCAGTCTGAGTTAACAAGTTACTTATTAACAAGTGAGTTCTTACTTATGTTTTATTCATGACCATAAGGTTAGTTTTGCTCAGGAATACGTTTACTTTTACTGTACCTTTACGTTTTCGTCTTTCTTACCTTGATAGTTGTGGATAAATTCTTCATGGATCAATGTTTATTCTTTGTCGACCTTGTTGGATGAAGATTTGGTGATGGGGCAGATTTATGAAGCTGGTGGAAAATACGCGAGACATTTCCACAGATATTTTGCCGTAGAAAAGCACTGACGCAGGTGACGTTTACCCTACAGTGCGACACTTCCAGCCGTTGTGAAAAAAGGTCTATTGCTTTGCCTGGGACGTATGACATTAAACAGCTCTACCTGACATTTATTCAATTACAGGCAGTGTTGGGAGTGTTGCTTTTAAAATGTAATCCCCTACAGATTACAGATTACATACACCAAAATGTAGTTTGTAACGGAATCCATTAAATTACTTAAAGTGAGTAACGTAATCTGAATACTTTGGATTACTTGGTTTGCTGTAGAGAAGCAAAGACGAGGATGGTTTAGTCCTGGTTTAGACCTGGTTTAGAATTTGTTTTAGACCCGTTTAGACCTGGTTTAGATCTAGTTTAGACCTGGTTTTAGTCCTGGTTTAGACCTGGTTTAGACCTGGTTTAGATCTGGTTTAGACCTGGTTTAGATCCTGGTTTAGGCCTGATTTAGACCTTGTTTTAGACCTATTTAGACCTGGTTTAGATAGATCTGGTTTAGATCTTGTTTAGAACTATCTTAGACATGGTTTTAGTCCTGGTTTAGACCTGGTTTAAACCGAGTTTTAGTCCTGGTTTAGACCTGGTTTTAGACCTGGTTTAGATCTGGTTTAGACCTGGTTTTAATCCTGGTTTAGGCCTGGTTTAGACCTTGTTTTAGACCTGTTTAGACCTGGTTTAGATCTAGTTTAGAACTAGTTTAGACATGGTTTTAGTCCTGGTTTAGACCTGGTTTAGACCGAGTTTTAGTCCTGGTTTAGACCTGGTTTTAGACTTGTTTTAGATCTGGTTTAGATCTCCTTTAGACCTGGTTTTAGTCCTGGTTTAGGCCTGGTTTAGACCTTGTTTTAGACCTGTTTAGACCTGGTTTAGATCTAGTTTAGAACTAGTTTAGACATGGTTTTAGTCCTGGTTTAGACCTGGTTTAGATCCGGTTTAAACCTGGTTTAGATCTAGTTTAGACCTGGTTTTAGTCCTGGTTTAGACCAGGTTTAGATCTAGTTTAGTTTCCGGCAATGATTGGAATTACCGAAAAAAAAGGGGAATAGCCCGAAATATGAAAATAGGAAAATACCTCTGTGTAATCCATTTATTCCAACAAAGTAACTGTAATCCAATTACCACTCACTGAAACAGTAACTGTAACTGAATACAGTTACTCATAATTTGTACTCTGATTACGTAACTCCGGTACTTGTAATCTGTTACTCCCCAACACTGATTACAGGTGGTTTTATTTTTCTCAAAAATACGTGGAAACCTGACCTGAAACTTGGTATGTTTGCTCTCCGTGAAGATAGAAAGGTTTAATATCATACTGTGAAACATTCCAGACAAAGCAATAACGTCTCCCCCAGAAAAGTTACACAATGCACCTTTAAACCAAACAGCAAACCAGTCTTGACCAAAACAAAAGCATGCGTCTCACCTGTGTAGTCCTCTCTACAGATGCAGGTGTAGCCTCCCTCCCTGCGCGCGCACACTCCCCCGTTCAGACAGGGGTTGGAGTAGCACAGGTTGATCTCCGTCTCGCAGTAGTCCCCGGTGAACCCCAGGGGGCAGCGGCAGCGCAGGCCGGCGATGGGGTGGATGGGCCTGAACAGGATGGAGCTGGAGGAGATGAAGGGAGCGGAGGAGTTGAACTTCAGCACGGAGATGCACTTCATGTAGTTCTGACAGGGCTCACGCAGGCACACGTTGTCGTCGAAGGGGAGGACCTGCGAGGAAACGTACGAGATAGACATAAGAAGAGCGCCCCCTGCAGTTTGAAGAAAAGTAATATCGACATCGCAAGTCACGCTGGATTATTAAAGGGCCCATATTACACTATTTTCTGATCTCTGCTATAACGTTTCCTCGTCACAAACAGACCCAGAGTTGTGTTTCGTTTCCTTCACATGAGCTCTTCTCTCAAACTGAAAACACTCTATTCCACCTTGTGATGTCATGTGGTAATACACCGTGTGTTTTTAAACTCCACACACTTTCACAAGAATAATTTGGATCATTTCAGCTCTGGAATTGCCAATCTCTACTGATAAAATTATAAAAGTTGACTTGAAAACTACTGGAACAGAGCATTTTGAGCTTTAGGATAATGATAAAAAAATTACTCAAACATGTGAGAATGAAACAAAAAAACACAACTCCAGGTATGTTTTTGATTAAATTACAGTGTTATAACATGTCTTAAAGCTCACAAGAGTCAATTTTGCGTAATATAGGACCTTTGAAACATAATAATGTGACTTTAGAACAAATCCAAAAGTGTTTTTTGTGTTTTGTTTAAGTGTTTAAATTGAAATAATAACATACAAAAACATATAACATTGCCTAATTTAATAAGAGCCCGGTTCTTCAGGAGGAAATGCTTTAAACACCCAAAAAATACATATTTAACTTGAAAACATATTTTAAAATGCAACTTAAACTGTTTACTTTACTTAACTTGAAAACATATTTTAAAATGCAACTTAAACTGTTTACTTTACTTAACTTGAAAACATATTTTAAAATGTTACTTAAACACTTGACTTAATACATCACTTTGCTTCTTTTCTTTTCTTCTTTTCTCTTTTCAATTTTACTTCTACTTTTTTTGGTACCTTTGCATGGATTAATCACCAGTTATTTAGAAAGTGAAAACAGAATTATAATGATCATAAATAAAGAGATTTTATTGAAGTATTTTTATCCTTTATGTGTGGTTATACTTCCCTTCCAGGACATCAAAATTTGTCAACAAAGAAAGAAAATTTCCTTTGTTCCAGAATAGTATAATGATTTTTATTGTGCTGTTTTGTATGTAAATAAATTTCTATTCCTACTTTTGACCTGGCTCTAAATTTGCTTCTATAACTGCTGGCCTTGTGAGCTTTATTTAACTGGTTTAAACACTAAAGATGGTTCAAGTCCTATCTAGAAGACAGGAAGTATTTTGTTGAAATTGGAATCTGTGTCTCAGATCACATGGCCCTGACCTGTGGGGTGCCTCAGGGGTCAATCCTGGGCCCCCTGTTGTTCAATCTCTACATGCTGCCATTAGGCCAGTTAATAAGCAGCAATAACGTGTCCTACCACAATTATGCAGACGACACTCAGATCTACGTCTCTCTGGCAGCAGGAGACTATGGACCAGTGGACTCACTTGGTCACTGCATCCAACAGATCAGTGTGTGGATGCAAAACAACTTTCTCCAGCTAAACTCTGACAAGACTGAAGTCATAGTGTTTGGTCCACAGAAACAAAGGGACAGTGTCAGCAGTCACCTCCAGTCTCTCGCTCTAAAACCTTCAAATCAGGCAAGAAATCTCGGGGTAATAATGGACTCAGACTTGAACTTTAACAGCCACATCAAATCAATAACATCTGCAGCCTTTTACCATCTAAAAAACATAGCAAAAATCAAAGGTTTACTGTCTAAATCAGACTTGGAGAAACTTATCCATGCGTTTGTCTCCAGTAGGTTAGATACTGTAATGTTCTGCTCACTGGTCTCTCCAAACGAGCTGTGAGACGCTGCAGAACATCCAGAACATCCAGAACATCCAGAACGCTGCAGCTCGGGTCCTTACTCGAACTAGGAAGTACGAGCACATAAGTCCTGTGCTCAGGTCTCTGCTCTGGCTCCTGTGCCTCAGAGAATAGACTTTAAAGCAGCTCTGCTTGTACAAGTGTCTCCATGGCCGAGCACCAAAGTCCATCTGTGACATGTTAGTGTCATATGAACCATCTCACACTCTGAGGAGCTCAGGGACCAACTCCTGCTGGTGCCCAGAGTCACGACTAAACAAGGGGAGTCAGAGTTTCAGGTTCATGCAGCTAAAACCTGGAACAGTCTGAACATGTGAGACAGACTCTTCTGTGACGCTGTTTAAATCCAGACTCAAAACATTTCTGTTTAACTGTGCAAATAACTGAAAGGTTTTCATTCCGCACTCTTCTCTCCAATTTATGTCTCTCTTTTTTAATTTTAATCTTCATGATTATTTATGTTTTGATTTGTTTTTATTATGATTTTAATGTATTTCTTATTCTGTAAAGCACTTTGAATTACTTTGTGTACGAATTGTGCTGTACAAATAAACTTGCCTTGCCTTGCCTAAAGATGACGTCACGCTCGCTTAGTCCTTTTCTTTATACAGCCTATGTACGGTGCCCAGCCTTACTTGCGCACGTGAATGTACAAATTTAGGGCCAGTTTATCCTGATTTAGTAACAGTTTCTAAAATCTCTCAAATCCTTATAAATCACCCTAAAAATACAACAACAAAAGCCCATTACCAGCGCTGCTTCACCCACTTCACACCAGCAGTGGCCTACTTCCAGCTACAGCGTCCATTTGTCTTGTTCACAGCAAATGTCGAACTACAACAAATGCTCCCCGTATGCTCCAGTCGCTGCAAAATCTGTTCTTATTATAATACAGAACTTCTTCAATAACGATGAATCTGCTCTCACTTATGTTCCAGTCGTATTTGTGTGTTTATTTATGCGCTACCAGAAACCACACAATCCTACTTGTACAGGTAAAGTGTCAAGGCTAAACTACGTCTTTACCTACGGACAGAAGTTTTTTTCCAAATCTGTCCTACATCCAGTGTTGGGAAGGTGACTTTTAAAATGTATTCCCCTACAGATTACAGATTACATACCCCAGAATGCAGTTTGTAACGGAATCCATTAAGTTACTTAAAGTGAGTAACGTAATCTGAATACTTTGGATTACTTGATTTGCTGTAGAGAAGCAAAGATACTAGGATATCGTATCATAAGATGTTTTATCTGTTAAAAGACAATGAAAAGTCCAGACTTTACTTCACCAGATTAAAAATATTATTGATAGAAAAGGAGGAGACACGTCCGCGCAGCAGGATTTAGTCCTGTTAAATCCTGTTAAATCCTGTTTTAGTCCTGGTTTAGTCCTGGTTTAGTCCTGGTTTTAGACCTGGTTTAGACCTGGTTTAGACCTGGTTTTAGATCTGGTTTAGACCTGGTTTTAGTCCTGGTTTAGTCCTGGTTTAGACCTGGTTTTAGACCTGGTTTAGACCTGGTTTAGACCTGGTTTAGGTCTAGTTTAGACCTGGTTTTAGTCCTGGTTTAGTCCTGGTTTAGACCTGGTTTAGATCTAGTTTAGACCTGGTTTTAGTCCTGGTTTTAGTCCTGGTTTAGTCCTGGTTTAGACCTGGTTTAGACCTGGTTTAGATCTGGTTTAGACCTGGTTTAGATCTGGTTTAGACCTGGTTTAGATCTAGTTTAGACCTGGTTTAGATCTAGTTTAGACCTGGTTTTAGTCCTGGTTTTAGTCCTGGTTTAGTCCTGGTTTAGACCTGGTTTAGACCTGGTTTAGATCTAGTTTAGACCTGGTTTAGACCTGGTTTAGACCCTGGTTTAGATCTAGTTTAGACCTGGTTTAGTTTTTAGACCTGGTTTAGACCTGGTTTAGATCTAGTTTAGTCCTGGTTTAGACCTGGTTTAGTTTCCAGCAATGAGTGGAATTACCAAAAAAAAAAAAAAAAAAAAGGGGGGGAGGGTATAGTCCAAAATACCGGCATGTAATCCATTTATTTTAACAAAGTAACTGTAATCCAATTACCACTCATTGAAACAGTAACTGTAACTGAATACAGTTACTTATAATTTGTACTCTGATTACGTAACTCCAGTACATGTAATCTGTTACTCCCCGATGCTGCTTACATACAAACACACATACAGTAATAAATGATGTACTCGTACTCATCTTTTGACCTCATTAGTTTAGTTTAAGCTTCGTTTATATGATGACGGTTTGAACAGAAGACGAGCGTTTTCGAGAGGAAATCTGCGTGCATACGGTGACGCAAAAGTGTGTGGAATTCGGTTTGTTTATGCATGCCAGGTTTGTGTACTGTATGTATGTGACGTAAACGCGTACGTGACATGAGCAGATCTGACCCGAGTTTTGCGTCTTGGGCAGCGTAGACGGAAAAGCTACGGCGGAGTTTATTCAACTTTTCCACTCTGGAGGATGGTTTCAGAGTTTTTGCGTTTTTAAGCGCCAAAAATGCCATCGCCGTCTAAACGAAAGGCGCTTCTGAAAAAATATTTTGTCATTTTTACCCGCAAGTGTTCTCGTGTCAATAGAGCCTTAGTTTATTTATTTAAATAAACAGGGACAGTGCACAATATTTCTTAACCTTAACAGGAGAGATGCATTGTACCAGGCTGCAGCACCAGTGCTAATTTCCACCTGTCGTCCCCGGGCAGGTTAATTGATTGATTGTTTTTAATTTACCTTAACTATCAGCTATCAGTTATTCTTCCTGGAGACCTATGGAGCATGCTTTGGGTTGATGGGGGAAACCGGTAGCCAGGCTGGCACCACCTAGTGCACAGGTGTCAAACATAAGGCCCGGGGGCTGGATCCGGCCCTCCAAGACCTTTAATCTGGTCCTCGGCTGATTTTCTACTAAAATATTTTAATTATATTTTCTATTAAAATATTGGTAATTTTCTGCATTGCTTAGCGTAGCAGCGTCTCCAGCGCCTCTGTACGTGGCCCCTCCCACCAGAGCAGCACAAATGAAAACTTGTCTCTTTCCAAACGCTCTTAAAGGACGATCGTTTTGACTGTTGACCGTGACACCCTCATCAGAAAAAAGTCAAAAATGAGAAAAGTGGAGCCGAGTGCAGGATTTTCCAAGAAAAATTGACTTATTCCTATTTACATACAAGTTATTGTTAAAACATTGTGTTGAAATTACATTTTTCTTAAAGTTTCAGGTTGTTCATGATATTATAATATTTTGTAAAAATTCATCAATTAAAAAAGATTTCTGTAATAGATTTGTGTTTCTCTGCACAAATATTTGAACTTATTGCTATTTTTGGGGTTTATATGACATGAGTTTTCTGATCCGGCCCCTTTGGGATCAAAGTAGGTTGGATACGGCCCCCGGACCAAAATGAGTTTGACACCCCTGACCTAGTGCCTCTGCTCAATTTCGTTTCTCTCCAGCGACTAGGTCAGGAATCAGAATACACGAGACTGTTCGCAAAAACCCCAGAAGTGTGAATTCGTGTACATTCTGTGTTGGCAACAATTCCCGAGATCGAGGATTTAAAGCCGGAATAAAGAGAATGTTTGGTCAATTTTATCAAGGGGAAAGATGTTATTGTCCTTCTCCCTACGGGATTTGGGAAAAGCTTAATATACCAGTTAACCCCATTAGCAGCGATTGGTTAAATAAAAAAGCACCCGCCTACAGTCGAGTGAAGGAATACTAATGCTGCGAGGTCAGACGGTTTCTACGAAGTGAAACCGGCTGATGAATCAGACTAGGAAATCCATCCAGACAAGGGGAGAAACATGCAAACTCCACGTAGAAAGGCCCAGCGCCCCGTTACTTCCTCATAAACATACCTGGAGTTGTGTTATGTTTCATTCACACATTTTTGAATAATCCTTTATTATTTGTCTGTCTAAATCTCCAAAGATCCAAGTGCTATATTCCACCTTGTGATGTCATGTAGTGGTAGTTTTAAGATTAACAGCTACATTTTACCTTTTGCTCTGTAGAGATTCCAGAACTGAAATGATCCAAATGATTCTTGTGAAGGTGTATCTAGTTTAAAAACACTGTGGAGGACTTTCTGTATTACCACATGACATCACAAGGTGGAACAGAGTGTGAATCAAACAACAATGTGTGAATGAACCAAAACACAACTTCAGGTCTGTTTATGATTAGGAAACGACGATACAACACTGTCAGAATAATTTTATTATCCCATATTTGCTAAATACTTGACCAATCACTTGTATAAAAATGAATAACCTCTGTGTGTTTGACAACTGTGTGCAGTGTCCTATCGCTCTAGTGAACCTCGAGATGATTCCTCACATGAAGCCAACTCCCACTGTCACACATGCAAGAGTTATGATGGTGTCTGACCTAAGGCACCTCCTGATTGTTAATCATGTTTTATGTGTTTGTACTATGCATAGCTGCATCAGTTTCTTATTATGTCTTGGCTGTTTCCCCTTCCCCTTGAGAATTATCATTCTGTAACTAGGGCCTCCTAATGAAATAAAAAGAGGAGAACGGCCTTGAGGCATCAGAACGTGTGGAGACTGTTGGTTTTGATGCCCACTCTCTGCCCGTTCTCCTCGCGAGTAAAACTGAATTAATCTCTTGTCTTTCTTCTTGTTTACAATGTTTAGATAAACCTAACAAACACAGATCAGAAAATAAGAGTATTATGGGGCATATCTAACTCCAATAACCAGTCCAACGCTGGTATCCCCGGCGTGTTTCCAGGTTTTACGGTCTTGTTTGAACGAAGCATGTGTTATTTTTTTGCTTGTATCTGAACTCTGACAGACTCCAGCTGTGTGTTTGCCGATGCAGTAAATCCACATTATGTCATTATAAACTACTGCAGTGGAAACTCAGCAGCTGCTCACAGGGAGCAGCCCACCATCTTTAACATTAGTCTTTATAAAGAAATGCGCAGAAACCGTAGCTTTGGAGCATTAAGTTGTTTAAAGGGCTTATATTAAACGGAATTGATTCTTGTGAGTTTTAAACCATGTTAAAATGTTGTTACCTCATTACATCAAAAACACACCCGCAGCTGTGTTTTGTTTCATTCACACACACACACATGTTTATCACATAAAACATGCATATATATAAAACTGAGTTCTTCCCTCAAACTGAAAACACTCTGTTCCACTTTGTGATGTCAAGTGGTAATGGAGGAAGTACTCCACTGTGTTTTTAAATTTTGTTTTGTTTTAGACAAACTTGGTTGAGGGAAATTATTATATGCACAGTAACTCACACCAAGAGCAAAAAACTATAAATAGTAATAAATAGCAAAAATATCAAGGGCCTGATGTCAAATAATGTATAATTATTTTACTGATTAAATAGTGATTGGAAAGAGTTATCTGTTACAAAAACATTTAGTACAGGTTTGACAGAGTTGCCAATTCTTCTGTTTCACACCTGAATGTTTGTTTTTCAGGTTTTGAGGGCATTATTGATATAGCATTAGCTGTAAACTCCACTGTGTTTTTAAACCACATATGCCTTCACTAGAATCATTTGGATGATTTCAGCCCTGGAAATGCCAATCTCGTCTAAACAAGAGGTAAAAGGTAAATATTAATTGGGAAAACTACCACTACATGACATCACAAGGTGGAACAGAGCATTTCGAGCTTTGGAGATGTAGACAGACTAATAATAAAAGGTTACTCAAAGGTTTGAATGAAATAAAACACAACTCTATGTATATTTTTGATCAAATTTGACAAAATTATAACATGGCTTAAGGCTCACATGCGTCAGTTTTGTGTAAGATAGGACCTTTAGTGTAGTCAGGCTGGCGCCACCTAGTGCCTCTGCTTAATTTCATGTCTCTCTAGTGACTAGGTCAGGAATCAAAATACACTAGACAGTTCGCAAAAACCCCGGAAGTGTGAGTTCGGACACCAGCCAATCAGTGAAGAGTCATACATTCTGTGTTGACAACGATTCTTGACATCGAGGATTTAAAGCAGGAACAAAGAGAATGTTTGGTGAATTTGATCAAGAGGAAAGACGTTATTGCCCTTCTTCCTACAGGATTTGGGAAAAGCTTAATATACCAGTTGGCGCCGTTAGCGGTGCATTACATACGTCACGACCAAATAAGCGATTGGTTAAATGAAAAAAATACCCGCCTACTGTCGAGCGAATGAATCCTAATGCTGCGAGGTCAGACGGTTTCTACAAAGTGAAACCGGCTGATGAATCAGGCTGCCTTTAGTTTACACTCACAAGGATTTTCTCATTCTTTATTCTATCCATACTCACCATATAGGAGAACCACTGAATCTTTAGGTGCCTCTAGGTCTGTTCTGTTTCCCAGAATAGCACAACATGTCTGCCCATAGCAAACACTTTTCTCTTCATTCTTACTGAAACAACACACCCAAAACATCTCTCTACATCTGTTCCAACCCTCTTGCAAACATGTTACTCAATTTCATTCTTAATTTCAACAAACCCCTTTGACTAACCTCCATCTGTGTGAGTGCGGTGAGCCTGGGCCTGTTCAGGTACAGCTTCTCCTCCAGTTCCTCGGAGGGGAAGAAGCGACCGCCAGGGAGCGCCGCTGAGAAGGACACGTTGAGGATGGTCTTTCCCTGCGGCGAGGTGTCGTGGTCGGGCTGGATGTTGAAGATAAAGACGTTGTCCACGGGGACAGACAGCACCGTGGACACGCCCTCCAGGAAGTGGGACAGCAGCGGAGACAGGAAGTGGTCCTGGGACATGTTATGGAGACGGACCGTGACGCTGCTGCCCAACATTTCCTCTGTGATGATGAGGACGCGCAGGATGCACTGAGCTGAGACGCTGTGAGCTCCGTCTGCAGAGGAGAGGGACACGAGGGTTAGAGGGCAAATATATGAAGCCACAGCACTGGAAATATAATTTACATTGTTGAGTATTAAAGAAAAGGACGAGGGATGGTCCGATATGGAGTCTTTGAGCCGATACTGATATCCGATATTTAGGCTGCTACAGTGTATTTGCCCATATTTAGGTTTTAAAATACTTAACAATGCTCACAAATCTAGTATCTTAAATTAAAGTAAAGAGCACAAATGTGTTCTGTAAAAACAATAAGATGTATTTATCTGGAATATAAAATTATTTGTTACATATTTGTGTAAATATAAAGCCGTATTTTAAACCTAATTGATTTTCTATTTCCATTTGTCTCTTCATAAAGACAAATCTGACACATGAGCACAGAGACTGGGCCAGCAGCAGAACAATCGTTGGTGTTTGAGTATCAGCCAATACTGATATCTGTGAAAAAAGGTCAAATATCTGTCAACACTGGATCCAATATCGATCACCCATCTCTAACTTGAGTGTTTTTTGTTTTTATTTTAATATTTTGTGCTGTATAGTTGTGTCTAACACTCACATTCAACATTCATTCACAGCACAAACATGCAGCATCTGTTGCAAACTAATGACACATAATCATGAAGGAAAAAAAACACAAACTGTCTTTAACAATGGTCCTTATTTAGCAGCGTTTCTGCCTGTCACATGGCTGTGCACATCAGCATAATAACTCTCACGCTCAGCACAATCTGCTTGAGTGAACAATCACCTTCTCAACCTCTCCAACTCCTCCTTTCATCACTGCCACAAATGTGTTGTTTTCTTTCTTTTTGCGCCACCGGCTTCTAGACTAACAGAGGTAAAAGAACGAGTGGATAAACGGCGTCATACTCATGTGATTAGTGAAGAATCCTTTTATTTTGCACCGACTGCCATTTTACACATCATCTCATCGACCAAAGTCAAATTCACGCTTAAGACACAAACCAGGAAGACGTTTGGAAACATGAGATAACAACTTCCCAGGCCCAGTTTTCTTCATCTAAATGTCATTTGTAGTGTTTCTTTATGTTCAGCTAATCAACAGTTACACCCATCAGTGTCGGGGAGTAACAGATTACATGTACCAGAGTTACGTAATCAGAGTACAAATTATGAGTAACTGTATTCAGTTACAGTTACTGTTTCAGTGAGGGGTAATTGGATTACAGTTACTTTGTTGAAATAAATGGATTACACAGCGGTATTTTTCTGTTTTTACATTTTGAGCTATATCCCTTTTTCTTTTTCTTTTTCTTTTTCGTAATTCCACTCATTGCCAGACACTAAACCATGTCTAAAACCAGGTCTAAACCAGGTCTAAACCAGGTCTAAAACCAGGACTAAAACCAGGACTAAAACCAGGACTAAAACCAGGTCTAAACCAGGTCTAAAACCAGGACTAAACCAGGACTAAACCAGGACTAAAACCAGGTCTAAACCAGGTTAAACCATAACCAGGTCTAAACCAGGACTAAACCAGGTCTAAAACCAGGACTAAACCAGGACTAAAACCAGGACTAAACCAGGTCTAAACCAGGTCTAAAACGAGGACTAAACCAGGTCTAAACCAGGACTAAACCAGGACTAAAACCAGGTCTAAAACCATGTCTAAAACCAGGTCTAAAACGAGGACTAAACCAGGTCTAAAACCAGGACTAAAGGACTAAAACCAGGACTAAAACCAGGTCTAAACCAGGTCTAAAACCAGTAAAAACCAGGTCTAAACCAGGACTAAACCAGGACTAAAACCAGGACTAAAACCAGGTCTAAACCAGGTCTAACCCAGGTCTAAACCAGGTCTAAAACCAGGTCTAAAAACCAGGTCTAAAACCAGGACTAAACCAGTCTAAAACCAGGTCTAAACCAGGTCTAAAACCAGGTCTAAAACCAGGTCTAAACCAGGTCTAAAACCATGTCTAAAACCAGGTCTAAACCAGGTCTCAAACAGGATTTAACAGGACTAAATCATGCTGCACGGACCGTGTCTCCTCTTCTTCTATCAATAATATTTTTAATATTGTTAAGTAAAATCTGGGCTTTTTATTTTCTTTTAGCAGATAAAACTTCTTATGTGAAGATTTCCTCATCTTTGCTTCTCTTCAACAAATCAAATAATCCAAAGTATTCAGATTACGTTACTCACTTTAAGTAATTGAATGGATTACGTTACAAACTACATTCTGGTGTATGTAATCTGTAATCTGTAGGGGATTACATTTTAAAAGTCACCTTCCCAACACTGCACCCATAAATCAGTTTTTGTCATTTCCCCACTGACACACACAACTCCGAGCGATTAGAAGAGACGAAGGCACCAAATTCAAGATTATTTCAAACCACACATACATATGCAGTCTTCATTTTACCACTGATTACATTTATTTCATTGGGTTTTTTCACCCAGTGTTGGGAATTACAGCGGAAGTTGCCATCGCATCTTTCCAAAGTTCTTCCTGGTTTGTGACGTAAGCGTGAATCAGGCCTTTTAGCCCTTAAATATGCACATGTGGCACACCTAGACAGACTAAACAAGAAGTACAGCGCTACACGGTGGCTGATGCTGCGAATAACGTAAAGGCTTCAAAACAGCACGTACACATCTTAGAAATCCATTATTCTATTCTAACGTATTGTCTCAAATTGCAGGGTTTCAGATGACATCTTAACGTCTTAATGACTTCTGTAATTGTAACCGGAAACAGGGCGAGGTCACATTTCTGTTCCTGAGTTTTGAGGTAGTCATGAAAGAACTTATAAGGTCAAAACTCATGGATTTCCTCTTGTGTATTTCTTATAAATGCCTTTTAAGTAACACGAGAAACTGGCTCTTGCGACGCCACCTGGGAGTATGATATGACATTTAAGAATTTGTTCGGATTTACAAGCAGGACCTGGCCAAAAACTACGTCTATAGACACATAACCGACAATTAAAACAATACAAGTTGCCTATCTGTCCATCATTTGTATGTAATACTGTAAGATTTGAACTTTAAAGGGATGAAAAACTCACTTGCAAGACTAATTATTGTTTTTTTGGTTGTTGTTTTTTGGTTTTTTGGGGGGGTTTATGTTGTATCTTAGGCTATTTAAATGATACTGTATTTAAAAAAAATTGCATACCCTGCTTTATTTCTTATTGTGTCAGTTAGGTATGGGCATGATTAATCGATAATTGATTCATTAAGAATTTCATCGATTTTGTTCATTTTAATCGACAAACCGAATGTAGGTTGCTGTGTGTAGCGTAAAGTGACCAAACAGGTGTGTACATGTGTCTCTCTGCACTCAGAAGGAGCGAGACACAAACAGTCACAAATGTGGATTTAACGATGATTTGTACAAGAAATTCCACGCTTTCCGTTGCGTTCGGGACAAGTGTGAGTCCATGTGCACAGTGTATAAAGCAGCACATATGTTTCTGTGTCCAGTGGGAAAAAGTTTTACCAGGTGAGAGTCGCGCAATGCCGATGACGAGTCCCCACCTCCCTCCCCCCGTACGGTGTCCTGGTTTTGACAAACGCAAATATGGTCACACTAACCTGTATTCCACTGAGTCATGTCTTTTAATCCGACAGAAGTTGAACCACATCAGCGACACAAGAGCTGGAGTTTTATCTTCGCTGAGTTTATGCAAATTAGTGATGCGGTTTTAAGTTTTGTTTCTGTGAGAGTTGCGCAAAACTGAATTAAACACATTATAATGTCAAACGGGCTGATGTGGCTCTAGAGTCGTTACGGTTTATATGTCATAAAGTTGAATTTATTTATGCAGATTAGTAGTGCAGATAGTAATAATAATGATGATCATTTTAATATAAAAACGTGAATGATTAATCGATAATGGATCGTTAATTCTTCCGACGATCGATTAAGAAAATTTCATCGAATGCTCGTCCCTAGTGTCAGTAGTTTCAATATTACGTTTATAGCAGTATATCTTTGAGGCAATATATCATGCTTCAGAATTTGTTATGGTGACAAGTCTAGTATTTCTGCAAACTGCTGCACTGACCGGACACCAGCCCTCATAGATAAATGTACAGACCGGGGCTCGGAAGGTCAGGCCTGAAGGAGACACATGGCCAAAATGACAAAGATAAATGCAACAGCGCCCATAAAGAAACACAGAGGTCACCCAGAATCAGATATGTCCCAGTGCGCTCCCGTAAACCGCTGTACGTGCCAGAATATGACATCTATAGCAGGCAAATCATTATCAGAGATCGCATTTCAGATCAGAGGGAGACGAGGCGGGTCACTTCACATAAACCATGAAGCATCAAGCAGGAAGTAAACAGCAGTTAGAGAAAAAAGTGAAAATGCTTGTGCTGTCGGCTATGAAGAAAACACAGCGGGAAAACTAGAGGCAAAACATGTTTTCAATGCAGTAGATCATTAACAAGCAGGAGTGTGCAAAAATATTGAAACATCCATATATGTTATTGTTTAATGTGATGATACAGTATCGATATCGTGGATTTCTGTATCGATATATCACCACATGTATTTTTTGGTATATTTTACTCAATCATTTTGTTACAGCGCTACAGTTTTGCTGTTTGTTTAGACCAGGGGGTGTCAAACTCATTTTGGTCTGGGGGCCGTATCCAACCGACTTTGATCCCAAAGTGTCCGGATCAGAAAACTCATGTCATATAAACCCCAAAAATAACAATAAGTTCAAATATTTGTGCAGAGAAACGCAAATCTATTACAGAAATCTTTTTTAATTGATGAACTCTTTCTTATTATAATATTATAATATTATGAACAACCTGAAACTTTAAGAAAAATTATATTTCAACACAATGTTTTAACATTAACTTGTTTGCAAACAGGAATAAGTCAATTTTTCTTGGAAAATTCTGCACTCGGCTTTTCTCATGTTGGACATTTTTCTGATGAGGGTGTCACGGTCAACAGTCAAAACGATCGTCCTTTAAGAGCGTTTGGAAAGAGACAAGTC